GAAGGAGACACTGAGCAAGCTGCCAGGAAGATTTGCTGACTTTGGAAATATTTTTCCCTCCCTTGCTACCTGTCTTAAAGAGACAACCTTAGCTGAACTCTTTAAAGTATTTTCTGCCTGAGCCCATTCCCAGAACTCAGATGTTTTAGGCTAGTCTAAGAGTTGGGATGAGGTAATTGACAGAGTGAGGTGGAGTTGTTCAGTCCTCTTCCTGTTACAAACAGTAAGTTGCTTATTTCTGTCATGAGGACACTTGAGATTCCCTGTACCCTGAGAACTTTGTCTTTTCAATGTATTTTAAAAAGAACTTTGTCTTTTTAGAGAAAGTGCTTACTGGGCTTGGGGAAAAAAACCCCTAAGAATCAGAAGAAAGGCCTCTGAAGGAACCATGTAAGGAACCTGATGAAGCTTTCCTGACCCTTACTTGGGATGTTTATTACACAGTGGTATGTTTCACTTTTAATTTGCAGTGAGACAAAATAACATTTAACTCCTGTCTTACTGCTTTCAAATAGAAGAGTACAAGCAGACTAACCACAAAATTTTCTCTCCCCATCTCATGCAAAACATTGGCACATACAATAGAGAAAAAAAAGTATCTGGCTATTTGAGGTGATCTATGAACTATTAATTAGCAGCAAGAACTGCATCAGAACTGAGAATCATGGTTTTATTTTTACCTTTTGGGATATAAATATGATGGCCATCTGGTTTACTGTGTTTCTAATTAATTAAGCAGTAATGAAAATAGGTGCACACTATTAAAAATGTAGATTTTTTCATCAGTACGTAGACCTGTGTACAGTGTATTGTATGTTCAGTTTTACATCCAGGATGTACATATGTACAGTGTGCACATAATAGGTACAATTGTGCATTAAGTGGACAACAGAGTTTAAAAACATACCTTCTCTAAAAAAATATCAGGAGTGAAATTAATCTGAGCATTTGTGATTCCTGAGTTCAGAATCAACTAATTTTAATTCTCACAAGTTTTGCTCTCCCTTGCTGTTTAATTAATTTTTCAGCTTCTGTCCTTAAGCACTGACTTTCATAAACAAAAGCTTTCAAGAATTCGCCTCCTGGCTCCAAGATACTTCTAATCCTTCATTCACACCAACAGAGCTATTCAGCTACAATTGTGTGCTCATATCTATTTATATCTCAATTGGTGACCTTTTTCCATAAATTTTAATCAGTGTGTTCCATCCTAACTTGTCTTCTTTGCAGATGTTTATTCACCAGTTACTCAAACTCATCATAACTAATGAAAGTACGACCTCATCAAAACATGCAAACCCCATTCCTTGCAAAGGACATAGGTTTATTTGGAATTAGAATTTGGATAGAATGGTAAACACATAAATGTCAGAGGTTTAATTTCTGACAGGTATGTCTTAGTTTACTCAGTAATCAAGCATTTTTAGTTGTACTCCAGCAAAATCTGGAGAATTGAGCAGAAGTGGACTCTTCCAAGAATTTTTAATTTTGTTAAAGCTTTTTTATATATGAACATTGTGTCCGTATAGTGAAGTTAATTTAGATGTGCTTTAATTACATTAATGCAAATTTTTTTGAACAATGTCTATATACCATACTGATAGTACCTTTAAACAATTTGTTGAAGTTAGTAAAAAGTAAAAAAATCACTAAGGCTATGGTTATTCAGACTAATTTACCAGCTACATCCTGCACTTGTTCTCCACTAGAAGTTACACATACGATTTACTTATTAATGCACCTGTTTTTGATAATTTTGAGACAGAAGCTCTCAGGAGTAGCATTACACTCAAGTCTTTCTCTTGCTGACAATCACCATGACTCACTCTGCAGAGCATGGGCAGTGTCTGACTCAGCCATGTGACACACACTCTATCTAGGCACGATTTAAACAGAAGCAAATACAAGTTTTTGTGCTGTGGGAAGACAGCTCTTTCAATTTGAGAAAAATCAGGCATTCCATCCAACCACCCATAGAAGGAAGTGACTTCATATAACTGACAACTTGTCACAGTTTAACGTAGGGACAGCAATTAAATTAATCACAATGCTGCTCCCTCTCCCACCCAGATAGGAAAAGAAGAGAGAGAATATGGAGAGATGCATCCAGATTGAAAATGAAACCAGACAGCTTTAATGAAATAGTAGTGACAAGAGAAAGTCTGTACAAATATATACAAATATGTGCAGGAGTGTACAAAACTCCTATTATCTTCCTGCCTTCAGCAACTGTACTCCCCTGAGCTGCAAACAATCTGGAAAAGCTCCTGGAATGCTTCTGGAGATAGTGGCAGAGCAGACAGGAGCTGAGGGTAGTCAGAGGTCAGGAAAACATGGGCCTAGGGATGACAGCAGATGGATAGATGGAGTCCTCCCTAGATGCCAGCCATGGACAAAATAAATGAGCTTTACTTCCACGATCCCTGAATGTATACCAAGAGGGATGTATATGGGATTGGAATACTCCATTTGGCCAATTTTGTCATCAGTCTAGTCCATTCCTCCCTCTGGGAGGGTTGCAGATATGACCTCTCTGCTCCTTAAGTGTCCAAAGCAGAAGATTGAGCAAGCAGAGCAAAGTGGCCTTGGTCTCTTGGCCATAACTATAAACGTTTGAGCATTATCAGTCCACTAGTTGGAAAGCTTACTATTACTTTCAGCATGTGTGCTGCTTAAAAGAGAGTTCACTGAAGAAAAAAAAATCAGTAAAAAGAAAACTGCCGTCATCCTGGTTCAAACCAGGACACCACTTAGCTACTGCCCTAGTAATTGTCAATATATTTTGTTTCTCTCCAGCAGGTCAAAAAAGTATTTTTCCTTTTGGTTCACATACAATTTGAAAGAACTCCTATTGTGAGTTTATATTTTCCAAAACCCAGTTGTTACAAAGCTTGTGGGTTCTTACCTCATTCAGTCTATAGCCTCTAAGTACAGTGAGATCAGCTCCCACTGGTAAAGCCACAGAGCAGAGTCCAGCTGGAGCACTTATATCATCCTTTCCTTGCTGAACAAAGTATTGTGCACTCTGTGTTCTGTGTCAGGAAGGGCTTAGAAAGAAGCTCCAAAGACAGAGGAGATTTTATGTTGTTTATGAAGTTATGCATTAGGAAATACTTTATACATTAAGAGAGTAAACCTATTTTCAGTCCACAGCCATCATTCTCAGCCTGCTGTGGAGTGAAGCTGTTTCCAGTAGTGCTAATATCAACCATGTGTCTAAAGTTTCCTTGATCACTCACTGAGTTCCAGTTACCAAAACTCTTTCTCTGAACATGTAAGGGATGTGGTTTATGGTGGTATTTTTCATGCTTTGCTTTCTTTCCAGTAAATTAATCTCATTTAATATTTTAAAAACAGGTTCTGAGTGATGTTGTTTACAGTGAGTCCTAAGGAACGTTCCCCGGACGTGTCTTTTTTTTCCCAGAGTGAATGCAGAGGCTCCACTGACATTTGTTAGGGGTGGATGTTTTTGGAGGGGACTATTTAAATTGTCAGCAGATACTAAACACCACTGACAGTCTTAAAGTTTAGTAAAATAGCCAACACTTTCATAACAGCAGTACTTCCCCTGAAGGGAAGCAAGAATAGCATAAAACAGACAGTCTAAGAGTCTTCAGATGATCTCGTCTAACTAATGTCACTTATCCAGTTTATTTCAACTTCAAAGTGATCCAGTTAATGAATCCTTAAATTTCACTCTGGCAGCAACAGAGAAAGCTGGAGCTCCATAACACTGAACACTAAGTTGTTTAGAGTTCTCTTCTCCATTTTTAATGAGACACTGAGAGCTTACTGCAGAATCAGCGCCCTGGGAACCATCTGCAGGCCACGTGCTTGTACTAACTAGAGGGGGACACACGGAGCAAGTTTGTGTTGCTGTAATTGCTTGTTGTATGTCTTACAGTGGTGTCTCAGTGGGAGCTGCAGAGAATTTAGCAAGAGCTGGATATTAGCCCAACCTGTGTTGTCTGGTTGCCTGCATCTGGATAACACAGAGGGGCTACACAATACAAAGCAGGTTAGTTAGAAGTCAGACACCCACTGAAGCAGGCTCTGCCTGACTCCTTGGCTCTGAGTGACTCAACAACACACACAACAAACTGGGATTCTTGCCCTACTGTACAAACCACTGCATGAAAATTACTCATAGCCCTTGCAGCACTTGGAATTTACAGTACAGCTTTAAAGTCCTGGTACTTATTTTATTTACATCTTTCAGTATGTGCATTTTTTCCTCTGATTCAGGATAACTTGGTAAACATTTTCCTGCATAATAATCTGATTTACAATTTTACTTCCAACATGCTTCAGTGTAGTATCTATTTGATGTTTTGTCAGAAGTTACCCAGACAAGAAAGAAGTCCCAGTGTTTGAATCATTTTACCTGGAGTACCAGAAGCAATGGCATAATCAAAGAGAGATGACAAACATGATGTGCATTTACAGTAGGGGAAAAAATGCTATCTGCTATGGTGTCAGCAATTCCCATCTTGCTAGGATGTACAATTTTCTAGTGAAAGGGTTTGAAAAAACAAAGGATTCTTTCATCTGGCACCAATGCCCACAGCAACAAGTTCATAGATCTGACTGGATCCTCAGGGCACTAGCATTTCTGAAATACCAACTAGAAATACTAAAATTGTGGATTACATGTTTTAATGAAAAAATTTTAAATAATTTGATTCTAAATGTAAGAAACTCTTTGTAAATTAAACCTTCATGTGGAATCTGGTCATGAGTTACAGCTTTATTTGGACTCTGATCACAATTTAAAGTTTGGATTATTTCCTCCCCCTGGATTTGGCAGGGACTGTACTTGTGTAATAGCACATTAAGACTATTTAGGTCTTAAAAGAATTATCAGCTTCCTGCAGACACTTACACTGTAACACAAGTGGTTTTTGTACAGTGCAGCAATCAAGCAAGGCTTGAAGAGGCCTGCTGTGCACTGAGCTGCATCTTCCTCTTTGCCTTACTTATTGGTTCCTGCTGCCTCCCAGGAGGCACAGGCTTCTTCTGCAGGGTGTTTAACCAGGCCTGTGTGTTGGAAAAGCTAACATTCTTCATCTCTTCCCCATCAGTTATAAACGTTTTGCCTCTGATAGACTTGTCCATTGAATTTTGTGTCATTACTGCCCTTGTTACAGGGAAGCTGTGGAGAGGAATGGTGAGACCCTGGCACAGGTTGCTCAGGGAAGCTGTGGAGAGGAATGGTGAGACCCTGGCACAGGTTGCTCAGGGAAGCTGTGGAGGTCCCCTCCCTGGAAGTGTCCAAGGCCAGGCAGGACGGGGCCTTGAGCAACTTGCTCCAGTGGGAGGTGTGAACTTTTAGGTCCTTTCCAACCCAAACCACTGTATGACTCTATGATCTCAGGAAACACGATCTGTAAGCTCCTACTGTTATAAAATTACTTTGTTGTAACCTGTACAAGCCATTTTAAAAGATATACTTAGCCATGGTATAAAGTTAGTCACAGTCAGATTATTCAGGCAAATGAGGCTGAAGTTAAACACTAGAACAGAGCCCAGCTCTCTCATCAGAGCTTCCTTTCTAGAAAAAGACCCCGAAGAAGGGCTAAGGATGCAGTTTCAGAAGGGAGGGAGGGACCCCCCGTGTCCCTCAGCCCCCAGGTCGGCCCGGACGCCCAGGCCCTGTGGCTGTGCAGCCCCTGTGCTCCCTGGGGC